AGCAACATTTTGCTCCTGAGATGGCAGCTTGGCCTGATCCCTGAAGCTTTACTTCACTGCAAAACTGGCTTGCAAAAAAAACCCAAAAAACCGCAGGGGAGTTAAAGGTTTGGAAGAAGAGGAAATCGGTATTTGCCACCTATGAATGCAAGGGATTAAGGCCTCTTGTGAGGGCAGAAGGATCTCTGACTTTACCCCACTGGAGTGGAGAGATTAGGCATCTCCACCACAAAGGAGACACAGGTCAGCATTTCCCCCCCCAAACACTCCTCCTTCAAGGTCCCCCAATATATCCTCTGGGAAGCATCTAAGAGCTTTTTTCATGGAGAAAGATCCTGCTGGGATGTTAATTCCAGACCCATTGGTCTCCAGAATAAAAGGCCTAACAGCTACCCATTTCTGGCTTTCAGATTTTAAAAAAGGGCCATTGATCACTCACCTGGGGCTATTTTGCTCCCCGGACTCTCCTCCCCTTCCTCCTTAGCCAAGGGCTCCTGCTCTTGTTTTACCTGTGAGGAGGAGGCAGCCTCCGAGATGGACTCAGGTGAGCCTGCAGAGGAGATGGGAGAAGAAGATGGGATTTCTTCCTTTCTTAAGATCTGTGAATTGTCATCATTATTACTTATCAAATTTCTATAGGGCCCTTCATCTGTAGACCTCAGGGCAGTTCACGAGAAAAAAATACAAGGTGAAAACTGAAAATACATACGATACGATATCTTTATTGTTATTGTCCCATACAGAACAATGACATTGAAAAATCTACATAACACATTCGAAAAACCCCTAAAAACTCTGAAACCCCATTTTAAAATACAATATACTCCTATAGAGACTCCTTATGCTGCGTTTAAAACCAGAATTGCATTTGGGTAGAAACATAATAAAACATAATAAAAACAAGAACAAAAAACCCTTCATACAAACCAATAATCATCCCCCCCCCAAGAATTGCTCTCATTGGAAGTGTGTCGCAGTGGTTAGAGTGTCGGACTGGGACCTGGGAGAGACCTGGGTTCGAATCCTTACTGGGCCATGGAGCTCACTAATAATAATAATAATAATAAATTTTATTTATACCCCGCCCTCCCCGGCAAGAGCCAGGCTCAGGGCGGCTAACACCAGTAAAATTTCAGTAAAAAAATAATAGGAAAAGAAAAAAAACAATTTAAAATACAGGTTAAAATGCAATTTAAAATGCAGCCTCATTTTAAAAGTAGCCCATAGATCAAAACCATAAGGGGAGGGAAACAGAAGGGTCAGACTGAGTCCAAACCAAAGGCCAGGCGGAACAGCTCTGTCTTGCAGGCCCTGCAGAAAGATGTCAAGTCCCGCAGGGCCCTAGTCTCTTGTGACAGAGCGTTCCACCAAGTTGGGGCCAGTACTGAAAAGGCCCTGGCCCTAGTTGAGACCAATCTAACCACCTTGTGACCTGGGACCTCCAAAGTGTTGTCGTTTGTGGACCTTAAGGTCCTCCGCGGGGCAGACCAGGAGAGGCCTAGTCCAAAAGGACCTAGTCCAAAAGATCACAGAACCGTAGAGGTGAAAGGGACCCAAAGATTCCCACCCCAGGCCCCAAACACTTGGAACAGTCACCTGGGACAAAGGATGGAGCCGCGCTTCTCTGATGGTTCCGCTGCTTCTGCAAGGGGTTCTCAGCCACGCTGGCATCCCCAAGGTTCTCCCTGGAGTCTGCGTCCTGCTGTTCGCCAGGACCCAGGTCCTCCCCTCGTTCAATCCGGGACAAAATATCTGGTTTGGAGATTGCATAATCTGTTGGGGTTGCGATGAGAAAAGAGAAAAGGACAGGACATCCTTGGGGTTTTTTTCCCAAAAAAAAAAAATAATTTTCCAGATTTATAACAAACATATCGACAAATACAAAAAGCAGGATTTAAATATGTGATGCTATAGAGGGGAGGAAGTCACCCAACAATGTTAACAAAAATGGAATTATTACAGTTTGGATTTATGTTTGCTTGTTTGTTTGTGTTTCTTTTTGATGTTTTCTTTTATATGTTTGTTATAAATTTGGAAAATCAATAAAAAAATTTGAAAAAACAATAACAAAGTGATGGAGAATTCGGAGGCAGGCCAGCGTGAACGCAGGGCCCAGAAGCCGCCTTTCTCCCGCCGGCTCTTACCGAGAGAGATCAAGTATTCGCAGTTCCCCTTTAGGACCTTCTTGTAGAGTTCCTTCTGCCAGTCCTCCATCTTCTCCCGCTCCTCCTGGGAAAAGGCGGCGCTGCCATCAAAGGTCACCTGCAAGGTGTCAGCCACAAAAGTTGATGCCCCAGAGCACCCCGGGAAACGAATGGTCCTAGGAGGGTAGCGCGGGGAGGGACCCCCAAAGGTCATCTAGCTCAACCCCCTGCGATTGTTTTGTTATGTGGTATTTGTTATAATTGTGGGAAACATAATAATTTTTTTTTTAAAAAAAAATCCTGCTTTTGCTAATAAAGAGTTAACTCTAACTTGCACAGTGTGATTTACTGCTGGCTGGCTCCTGCCAGCGACTAACCCAAGACCAAAGAGCCAGGGGAGCTCGCGTCTCCTCCCAGATCCAGCTTTCCCTACACTGAACTGGTCCCATCAACCCATCCACCAAGTCCCCCAGCGCAATCTTGCTCCTGTTATCGTCAGGCAGGGTCCACCTACCTTGGGGGCCTCCCCGTTGACACCGGGTGGGAGCCTCAGGATCCAGAAGTTCCGGTTCTTGAGCAGGTTCTCCAGGTTCTCCAGCCTCCTCTGGAGCAAGCCGTACTCCTGGATCAGGGTCCCCAGCACCGTCCACTTGCCCTCCAGCTGGTTCCCGATTTCCAGCTCCGTCTTCTCGCACTCAAAGATCTTCTTCTCCGCCGTCCCTGCCCTGCCCTCCAGGCTCAGCAGCCGAGACGTCAAAGCGTCCACTTTGCTCTCCATCGCCTGGACAGCGGCCACCAGAGTCCAGACAGACGCCTCCGTCACCTGCCCCGCCGGACACTCGAGGATGGCAGGGGACTGCAGGGAAGGCGGTGCGCCCCGCGATTCAGCCTCCCATTCCGGAGCCTGCTGGCAAGGACACAAGTTATTTTTTTCACAAAAGGAACTAAGCTTTTTGTTTTTGCCGTTTCTGAAAACACTCCAAACATGTGGAGGGCACCAGGTTGGGGAAGACTGGCCTGCAACGCGTCTCTGAAGCACCACCTTGAGTTCCTTGGAGAAAAAGTAGGATATAAATATTATAATGCAGGGAATTATATTTAGGAAGGACGAAGGCCTGTTTCTTGGGGTTCATCTTCTTTGGAGGGAACCAGTGATCTGCCAGGGATCTGTCACAGACATCCAGTGATCTACTGGTAGGTCACAATCTACCTGTCAGACATGCCTCTTATAATGGAATCACTGTGGTTGGGAAGGGGCCTTGATAATAATAATAATTTAGTATTTATACCCCGCCCATCTGGCTGGGTTTCCCCAGCCACTCTGGGCGGCTTCCAACAAAATATTAAAATACAGCAATGCATCAAACATTAAAAGCTTCCCTGAACAGGGCTGCCTTCAGATGCCTTCTAAAAGTCTGGTAGTTGTTCTTCTCTTTGACATCTGGTGGGAGGGCGTTCCACAGGGTGGGCACCACCACCGAGAAGGCCCTCTGCCTGGTTCCCTGTAACCTCACTTCTCGCAGGGAGGGAGCTGCCAGAAGGCCCTTGGAGCTGGACCTCAGTGTCCGGGCAGAACGATGGGGGTGTAGACGCTCCTTCAGGTACACTGGGCCTTTGAGGCCATTTAGGGCTTTAAAGGTCAACACCAACACTTTGAATTGTGCTCGGAAACGTACTGGGAGCCAGTGTAGGTCTTTCAAGACCGGTGTTATGTGGTCTCGGCGGCCGCCCCCAGTCACCAGTCTAGCTGCCACATTCTGGATTAGTTGTAGTTTCCGGGTAACCTTCAAAGGTAGCCCCATGTAGAGCGTGTTGCAGTAGTCCAAGCGGGAGATAACTAGAGCATGCACCACTTTGGCGAGACAGTCTGCGGGCAGGAAGGGTCTCATCCTGCGTACCAGATGGAGCTGGTACACAGCTGCCCTGGACACAGAATTGACCTGCGCCTCCATGGACAGCTGTGAGTTCAAAATGACTCCCAGGCTGCGCACCTGGTCCTTCAGGGGCACAGGTACCTCAAGGATACGTAGTACTGGTACCCCCTCCAAAAAAATATTAAGTGTGGCACTTACTGTGACAACTTCATGGTGAGTTCCAACACCTCCCCCCCCCCCTTAGAATAAAGCACTAATAACAACAACAATAATAATTTTCTGCCCTTTCCTTGCCCCTTAATAGATCTCTGCTCCCCACTTTGTCCCTTTGCACAAAAGGTGCAAATGCCACAACCAGGCACGGGGAGGGCAGAGGCAGAGGCAGAGTCCCATTAAAGGAAGAACCTGATTCCGAATTTAAGCACCCCGTTCACACAGCACAAGGCTGCAAGCGCGCATCTCCACCCGCAGAATTCCGCCATCCCGCCTGCTAACAACCGACGCCGCCGTTCCCTTTCCCTTTTGCACCGGGAAGGAGGAGAGCGGAGCGGGGTAAAAGCGGGGTAAGTACCCCGGAGGGAGGGGGAAGCTCGTCCGGATCAGCCAGGCGCAAAGTGCATCCTCTTCCCCTGCAGAAAGAGCAGGATCCAGGAAGCCCAGAGGAGGAGCCGGAGAGATGCAAGGGCGCACGGGCTTGGGGACGGCGCGGCTGCTTACCTGCGCGGGCGCCCAGTCGGCCATGGCGCCTCCGAGGGTCCCGGCGAGGGATCCGTCCGGAGCTGGTGCGGAGGGCCGGCGCTGGGATCCGCAGCTCAGAGCATGTCGGGAGCAGCTTTGCAAAGCGGGGAGGCGGGGTGCAGACTAGGGAGGGGAACCGGCGCCACTCCGGAGCTGCACCGCCGCCTGCGGGCCTGGGAGAGCATCGCCGCAGAAAGCGAGCAAGCGCAGAGGGAGCTTCGCTTGCACCCGCGGAGGATAGGAGCGGATCCTGCCCCTCGGAGGTTTTTTGGCTAGGGCACCCTCCAAATAATGCGCGCCTAGCAGCGCTCCGTGGGAAAGCTGTTCCGCTTGCCAAGCGCGCGCGCGCGAGGGCCTCTCCTGCGCGCCTCTGGGGATGTGCAGAGTTCACAGAATGGTAGAGCTGGAAGGGACCCCGAGGGTCGTCTACTTCAACCCCCTGCAATGCAGGAATCTCAACCACATCATACGTGACAGGCAACCTTTGAAGAATCATAGAATTGCAGAGTTGCAAGGGACACCCTTGATGTAATGGAAGTGAGAGCTGGACCATAAGAAGGCTGAAGAATGGATGCTTTTGAATTCTGGTGCTGGAGGAGACTCTTGAGAGTCCCATGGACTGCAAGAAGATCAAACCTCTCCATTCTGAAGGAAATCAGCCCTGAGTGCTCACTGGAAGGACAGATCCTGAAGCTGAGGCTCCAAGACTTTGGCCACCTCGTGAGAAGAGAAGACTCCCTGGAAAAGCCCTGATGTTGGGAAAGATGGAGGGCACAAGGAGAAGGGGACGACAGAGGACGAGATGGTGGGACAGTGTTCTCGAAGCTACCAGCATGAGTCTGACCAAACTGCGGAGGCAGTGGAAGACAGGAGTGCCTGGCGTGCTCTGGTCCAGGGGGTCACGAAGAGGCGGACACGACTAAACGACTAAACAACAAGGGACACCCAAGAGTCATCTAGTCCACCCCCTACAATGCGACAAATCTTTTTGCCCAACGTGGGGCTCAACCCCCGACTTTGAGTATAGGATCCAAGGTTCTTTCAGCCCCTCCCCCATAAAATATTTGAGGGGGCCAGGCTCCCACAAAGTTGATGGGCATTGCCAGTCAAATGGTGTGTGTGTGTGATCAGCTATCTTGGCTAGTGGCAATCGATAGCCTTCTCTGTCATGAATTTGTCTAATCCTCTTTCAAAGTCATCCAAGTTGGTGGTCATCATTGCCTCTTGTGAGAGTGAGTTTAACAATGTTTAACAGTAGTTTAACAATGATTCAATAGCCTGTGGCCTTTTCAGTGTGTTGGTAGAAGGGTAGCTATTTTTTCATTTGCTATGTATTTTGTGTTATCTTGTATTTTTATGTTGTGAACCACCCTGTGATCTTTGGAGGAAGAGTGGTATAAAACTAACTAACTGCAGTTACAGATAGGCAGCCGTGATGGTCTGCCATAGTCGAAACATAATAAAAAAATACCTTCCAGTAGCTCCTTAGAGACCAACTAAGTTTGTTATTGGTATGAGCTTTCGAGTGCAAACTTAGTTGGTCTCCAAGGTGCTACTGCAAGGAATTTTTAAATTTTGTTTTAACTAACTACAGTGGTACCTTGGTTCCCAAATGCCAAAAACCCAGAAAAGTGTTCCGGTTTTCGAACGTTTTTTGGAAGGTGAACGTCCAATGTGGCTGTCGGCTATTGTTTCCCGGGCGCCTGCACCAATCAGAAGCTGCGCCTTGGTTTTCAAACCTTTCAGAAGTCAAACAGGACTTCCGGAACAGATTAACTTTGGTGCTTTTGTTTTTGCTATTTATTTTGCGTTTTTGTTTTTAAGGCTTTTTCGGTTAATTTGTTTTTGTGACTGTGTGGAACCCAGTTCAGCTACTGATTGTGTGACTGTGGAAATGGATAAAAGCCCCCCAGTCCAAACAATGACTATCATCAGTGCAGGTAAGGAATAGTAATCATCATCTACAGCACTGTCTTATTTATTTTATAGTTCAGTACATTGATTATTGCTTTCATTTTATGGATCAATGGTCTCGTTAAGATAGTAAAATTCATGTTAAATTGCTGTTTTGGGGGTTGTTTTTAAAAGTATGGAACTGATTAATCCATTTTGCATTACTTTCTATGGGAAAGCTCGCCTTGGTTTTGGAACGCTTTGGTTTTGGAACAGACTTCGGGAACAGATTAAGTTTGAGAACCAAGGTACCACTGTACTCTGCAGTGCTTGAAGGAATTCTTTTTTTTAAATAATTCCTGAATCTCCCAACATTCCAGTTCATTGGATAACCAGGAGTTCTAGTTATTGAGGGGGGATGGGACTTTTCAGTAGCCACTTTGTCAGGCATCATTTTATAAACTATAAATTTCTATCACGTTGTCTCTTTCTCATCTTTTCCTCCAAACTAAAAAGTCCCAAGCGCTGCGTTATTTTCTCATAAGGGAGTCACCTGTGTTGCCCAGGGCAAAAATATGGGTTTCTTCTATCCTTCAATACCAATGCCGGTTTTCCAAGTTATACAGAACTATTTTCTCCCTAGAAGTGGCTGGGTGTGTGGGAAGTGGAGCGGAGTTCTTTAAAACATTAAAACTTTCACTGCAAACATTGCTTGGGCCAAGAAAGGTATTAGCACACAGCCGGATCAGCACAACTGGTTGGTTTTAATCCAACACAGAGAGACACTTTTATTGTCCAAAGCAAATCTGTGCAGTTTCCTCCACCTGAAGGAAAATGGCAGAAATAAAAAATAAATGTCCAGTGTTTCTGAAGGGTCATTTCATGCCTGAACTTTGTGAGATTTCATTTTATTCTTAGTTCTTATACTTGGCTGTTAATTTATTCGTGTTATTTCTTACTTTGAGACATTTTTGCATAAAAAGCAATGAATAAATACAGTAATAAAGGGTTCTGTTTGTCCCTGCACAAAAAGAAATGCAGACTTCTCTGTTGTTGTTCGTATTATTTATTTCATTTCTATACCGCTTTGTATTTTTAAGGGGGAAAAATACATTAAAACCTCAAAGAAACAATCCAGAAGAAAACACTACAGAAGGAAGTCAAATATAAAGTATACATCTAAAGCATACTTTAATTAACAGGAAACTGAAATATTATCTGAAAGGTTCCAAAATAAAAGTATTACAAAGGAATGCACATTTGACGCAGTGAAGTTAACAAAAAAATATCTTAAGGCATTTCAAAGGAAAACACTACGAAAGGAAGTCAAATAGAAAATGCACATTTCAAAGAGCATGGTTAGCGAGAGCATAAAATGTTCTCACGTAGAACGTTTCTGCAGCTGTTGCTGCCCATCCTGTCAATGGTGTTTCATGGCGGGCAGCAACTGTGGAAGCCCAGGCTTGGGTCTGAGACCTGTGGGCATAGGGCAGTATATAAACAATAAATAAAATAAAATAAAAATCTTGATCAAGCCATGCCCAATTTTATGCTCCTTGTAGCTCCTGAAAAGGTGGTGATGAGAATGAACTTACTGGTCGCAGTACGACTGCATGAGCAAAAGCCTTTCCATGAAAAGGTGTCTAGTAAAATGATCTCTGAAACGCAGCTCTTGAAGCTGAAGCCGCCCTTTTGTCAGGTAGCCAGCATGGCCTCCAGGTGTTTCTGACTACAATTCCCATCAGCCAATGCCAGGGGCTGATGGGAATTGTAGTCCAAAAATTAATAAATCCGGAGGGCACTGGGCTGCTCAGAAGGGAACAGCGCGTGCTACCTCCCCCATCTCCCACGCTTCTGTTGCTGCCGTAATACAACCCTTTTGCAGGCTCCGAAATAGAGAAAAGGCCAGGCTTCCCTGCTTTTGAAACTTCCTGCAAAATTTTCCCTCCATGCAAACGTGTGTTCGCTCCAGCTGCCTCACCCTGCAACCCCTGTGCTTGTTGCATTCTATACGGCACCCTGGTGACCTGTGTTCCAGAGTCCCGCAAAAAGAGGACACTGCAGGTTTCTGGAGTGCAACTGCCACAGCCTTGCTGGAAAGACAGCGCTGTTCGTACAGGGACTGATGCACCCAACTCCAAAAGGCTCTTCAAGCGCTACACTTATTTATAAGATTTATTTATTAGGTCCCCGGGCAGGTTACAACAACAGACTATGCTATTTTAAAAAAATTAAACTCATTAGTACTACAAACCACATAAAACCATTCCAAATGGAACGGAAGAATCTCATCGCAGGACCACTGAGGGAGGCACTTTTCTCAGGGGCCCACAATCCGTAAAGGAGTCAACCCCATGGATCTCCCCTAGATAAAACAGCACCCTGCAATCTGTCTCACCCACGTGGCCCCCAGAAGAGCCCCTTCTCTGCCCCTTCCAGAAACAAGTGAGAACATGAGAGTTTCAACAAGCTTTCCAAGCTAGGAGAAAAGTTCTCTGCCTTAGCCATTGATTTTGCGTTGCTTTTAAACCTATGCTCGGTTGCTCTCGTCCTGCTTTTGAAAATCCTTTTGCCTGGTTTGAGGATGCATATAAAATGCACACCATGTGATTGTTAAAGGACCTCAAAGCAGACCTCGGGACCCATATGCGGGAGGCGATTTGCCAGTTAACTGATTGCAACTCCCGCAGCGACAGCACAGTCTGAGAGTGATACTGAAGGATCGCAGCGGGGAGGAGGAAGAAGAGGAAGGTGAACCAGAGACCCTTCGAGATGCAGGCAGCCCTTTCCACCTGAGCAAAGTCTTTTCCAGCCACGTTCAGTTTGGGGAACCCTTTCTGCAGCCAGTTAGAGAAGACACTTCTGTCTTTTCCCCCATTTGCACCAGGCACAACTCCTCTTCTGTATGCTTCCTCCCACGCTCCCCCAGCAGTGCCGGCAAGAACAGCCTCTCTCACCCCCCGCCCTGGAAGGGGTCCCTGGCAGCGTGGGACAGCAGGTGCTCTTTCCAGCAGCTCAGGCTGAGCGAACCAGTTGCGGATGTGCGGCTACCCCAGGGCAGCATGTTCCTGCTGGAAGTGTTTGCCTAGCAGGAAGGGGCTCAGGAAGCTCTTGTGGCAGCGGCCGCACTTGTAGGGGTGCTCCACCACGTGGGTGCTGAGGTGCTCCACCAGCTCCTCCGGCTGGCCGAAATCCCGGTCGCAGATGTAGCAGTGGGCCGGCCGCCAGGTGAAGTGGCTTTGCACGTGGCCGGCCAGAGCCTCCTTGCACAGGTAGCTGTTCTTGCAGTGGGGGCACTGGAAAGGGCGCCCTTCGCCGCTGTGTCTGGGCAGGTGCTGTGCCAGCAACTCTTCCTGGGGGAAACCCAGGCCGCAGGAGGGGCACTGGAACGCAGCTGGGGGCAGATCTGCGCCCACCCCCTGCCAAAGCACGCTGCCACCCCCTGCCACGACCTGGGCGGGCGGCTTTGGTGAGGGAGCGCACCTGTGGTTGGCGAGGGCCCACTGGTTGAAGAAGTGGGTGCCGCACTCGGCGCACGGGTAGGGCCACAGCTCCGAGTTCTTCTGCAGCAGCTCAGCGAGCGCCTGCCGCGGGGAGCAGCTGGAGTGCAGGCAGTGCTTCATCTGTTCCGCCAGGAACTCACGCCAGTTGAAGCTGAAGCTGAGCTTGACGTGGGGCAGGACCTTCCTCGCCGCCGCCACGTGCAGCTCCTGGTGTTCGGAGAGCACCTTGCGGCTGGCAAAGGTGCTCTGGCACCAGCTGCAGGTGAAGGGCCAGCTGGAGGTGTGCGTCCGGCGGTGGGCGGCCAGCTCCGAGGAGGAAAGGAAGCTGCAGGGGCAGTTGAGGCAGGAGTGGGCCCTCCCCACTACAGCGTGGGCCCTCCGGTGCCGCTGGAGCTCCTGCGCCGACCCGGCCCCGGCCCCGCAGTCGCCACAGGAGTGGCTGTGGGGCCCGTGGCACTTCTGGTGCAGGAGCTGCATCGACCACTGGCTGAACGTGGCGCCGCAGGTGGCGCAGGCGAAGGGCTGGGCGTCTGCCGCGTGCGCCAGGCTGGAGCGCTTCTTGCGCAGGCGCTGGGTGCACTCGGGGCAGGTGGCAGGGGGGTGGCTGTCCGGCTGGCGCTCGTCCTCCCAGCCAAAGCTCTTGTGGCACTCCAGGCACTGAAAGGGGTGGGGCGTCTCGTGGTCCAGCAGAGACCTCTTGTGCCCGAAGCGTTTCCCGCAGTCCAGGTAGGAGTACAGCTCCTGCATAAAGTTCTCTGGCTCCTCCTTGATGGGCTGGGGCTGGGCACCAGGCTCAGCGCCACAGGCAAGGCTCTGGCCAGGGCTGGGAGGGGTGGTTCTTCCCGACAGGTCGATGAGCAAGTCCGGCTTCCGGCGGCATCCGTCTTCCTGTGTCTCTGCTGAAGTTTCTTGTTCTGCTAGAGAAAAGAACAAGAACAGAAGGGGACCAGGCGTTACACAGGAAAAGCTCTCTCCCACAGCAGTCTCTTAAGCTGCCCTGTTTTCGCTCCTACATGGATGTTTGGGTTCTATTTTTAAGGCACTTCAGTGTTTAACAGGAAGCATTTGCTGGTCTTACTGACATTAGTGCAAGTTTTTCTGCAAGATCCAACCTCTCCATTCTGAAGGAAATCAGCCCTGAGTGCTCACTGGAAGGACAGATCCTGAAGCTGAGGCTCCAAGACTTTGGCCACCTCATGAGAAGAGAAGACTCCCTGGAAAAGATCCTGATGTTGGGAAAGATGGAGGGCACAAGGAGAAGGGGACGACGGAGGACAAGATGGCGGGACAGTGTTCTAGAAGCTAGCAGCATGAGTTTGACCAAACTGCGGGAGGCAGCGGAAGACAGGAGTGCCTGGCGTGCTCTGGTCCATGGGGTCACGAAGAGTCGGACACGACTAAACGACTAAACAACAACAACAAATTGTGCTCTACTTTGTAAGGGCTAACGCAACATCTTGAGATGCTGGGTTTTAGTCTGTATGTTGCTGTGAGGCTTTGAGCAGGGAAAAGTGCCATGCAAATAAACTCGCGAGGAGGGCAACTCTTACTCAACTGACTTAAGACGAGACACAGGAACACAAGCCCTGAATAAGCTGTGAGTAGGGGCGTACAGGAGTAATTCGTTTTTTGACGCTGAGGTCTCCCCTACCACCCGCTGGCCCATCTTTTTGGTGATACCAACTGGAAGTCCAGCCTGCATATATAAGGCTGCCTTTGAAGAGGGCTCAGGAACAGCCACCAAATCAGACCAAGGGAAGAAATGGCCAACCACAAACAGCTGTTTGAGGGAGGCCACTATCATGCTAGTAGCACACCTGCCCGTTTGTTTCTGGGACCAATTCAAAGCATGGGTTTTATATTTTGAACCCCAACACCTTCATTTGATTTAGAACAGTGGTTCCCAAATCTTTGGGGGTCACTGCCTCCTTGACTCCGTAAACCAGGGGTAGTCAACATTTTTATACCTACTGCCCACTAATGCATCTTTCTTGATGGTAAAATTTCCTTACCGCCCTCCAGTGCTCGATGGAAGGAGGATTCAGCTTGTGCCGTAGAATTCCCTACTGCCCCCCTAGAATCCTGAAATGCCCACTAGTGGGTGGCAGGGACCAGGTTGACAACCCCTGCTATCAACTTATCCCCAGTGCCCCCTACCCTATGAAAAGCAATATTCAGAATCACAGTACGGTTGCCCTGCTCCTTCTAGCATCATGAGGTGTTGCAGGGGCCACTGATGACAGACATGGCCCTCTGGGCTCAGTCACTGGTTGAGAAAGCCTGGCCGCGGCTCACCTTTCCTTGAAACGCAAACGGTTATGAGAGCCAAGAATGAAGGCTGCACCGTCTATGCCAAACAACACAATGGCACTTGCGGTAGTTTATTATGTTCAGAAGTATTGCTGGGAGTTTGATAATGACATTATCAAAAAGAGTAAATTTAGTACTAAGCTTGTGGGAAGTACCAAAGGCTCAAATGTTAACAGTGCTAACGATTACCAAGCCAGGCCAGGGAAAGGCAGCAGTTGTAGAAAAACCTTAATTACTTTTTGGTATGACTTTTAAACGTGCAATTGTCGCTGTCAACGGAGAAGATAAATGAAGCACATTTTCAACCCTGTATACGATCGCAGAATCACAGAACTGTAGAGTTGGAAGGGACCAGAAGGATCATCTAGTCCAACTCCCTGCAAGGCAGGAATGTTTTTTGCCCAATGTGGGACTCGAACCCACAACCCTGAAATTAACAGTCTCATGCTCTACCAACTGAGCTATACAAAAAGAAGTGATGTCTTCATGTGGCACATAGTTGAACTGTGGAATTTCTGTTCTTATACCTTTCTGGTTTCAAACTTTAACCAGAGAAGTTATCTCGGTAATGAATTATGCCAAGCCATTTTTCAAACAAAAGAATTTAATAGAATTTCTCTTAACATTCCACCTGACATCACTGTGAAGAAAACAAGCAGGTGCAAAGCTAATCGGTATTTAATAGCAAACAACATCATTTTACTACACTATAACATTTTTAGCACTGATGTTTACTGTCGTTTGGGGCGTTGGGATTTATTTATTTTTGTTATCGTACAAACAACTCTTCTTAAGCGGAGCACAAAGGAAGACCATCAGCAGACAATATATTTATTTACTAGAGCAGAGGCAGAGGCTTGTGACACTGGGAGTGACACAGGATTCCTGCCACTGCCCTTCCTCTCAGAATTATCTTTTTTTGAGATTGTGCAGTTATCAGTACAGGCCTGGAAGGGGTTCAAAGGACCTTGAACTAGGCACAGAATCCACCCGAAGGATTCTTAGAAGCAGGAGAACGTCAGCATTTTTAGTTACAGCCTTGCAGAGAAGGCCAATTTAGCTGCAGCACCACGAATGCCTCTGCTTCACTTGCATATTGAAAAACTTGCTTTCTTTGAAATCAAAGCAGTCAAAAAGACAGGATCGTTGATTAATATTAAAATATACATATATAAAAAAATCAAATAAATACTTCATTTACAAAATCAACGCACACAATATATGAACATTTATAAATACAACTAAAGAAAACCCTCGAATGACTTAGTGGGAAAGTTGCACTTGACTCAAGAACAGGAGATGGTGAGTTTTGAAGGGTTTCGCCAGAACTCCCATGGGACGCTTCTGAGAGAGCCCAACTTCACATCCTCGCCTGTTTCACAAACTGAGGAGCAGGAACTTTATAAAGCAGGCCCTGCCCTGATGGATCTCTACTAGGCAAAAGGACTCGTGGGTTTCTAATGCAGGGAGGTGCAGAGGCATTTTAACTTCAGGCTAAACACATAAAAAATTATGGTTAAGGCAACAGGAGGAAGCCCAAAATCAAAACAGGTAAATATTTGGTGGAGTACTTTAAGCAAACTCTGGCTGAAGTTCTGTTCTGAAAACTTTGCACTGTAGAATGAACTACAGGATGAGGCCCTGTGTTACCCACGCTTTCAAGTCAAGGTGTTTTCCCTGCCCACTCCCCAATGCAGAGAAGTACTTAGATCAGAATGTTTTCAAATTGGCATTGCCATTTCTGTTATATAATTATTGAACAAAATGTATATACTGCTGGATTGGGGGGGAACCTTCTAACTGGTTTTTAAAATAACAGAACCTGTTATTTGTTTATATTTTATTTAAATAAAGCCTGTTAGAACCCGATAAGCCTCAGAATGGCAATTCTTCTCCCAAGACTCGGTCCTTTGCGAGTTTTTGCTTTTTGTGCAATCCTCAGAAGGTTCTGGGGTTCATGACAACTTTCCTTGAAGCCTACCTGGAGTTTATTTTTACAAATATTATTATTTTTTTAACATTAGCTGAGAGTCTCTCCATAGGTCTCCATGTGCTGACGGCTCTTTCAGTGACCTCCCCATTTTGTGGGCGTGAGCTGAAGCGATACCAGCCTGCACCGAAATCAGCACGCCTGAATTTCTATCACCCTGTTCCGACAGACCTCAAAGTCCTTAAATTATCTGAAATCAAGTTTGATGACGCCAGACCATTTGGGACCATCCAAAGGCAGCTTCTGCAAGGAATCCTTTTCATGCCGTCGTGATGCGATGAAATCCTCACGCTTGGAATGAAACTGTTTCAGACTTCGTCTTGCTTCCGTTGACCAAGCTTATTGTTTCCAAATGTCTCCGTTTGTGTGTTTCGACAGTCCGTGGCTCCCTGTTAAGGATTACGGCGCCACCCCAAGCACCAATTTTTCAGTTATTTGAAATACAAGCTCTCTGCAGTGCAGAAAACGTGGAATGGGGATTGTGAAAAATACCTGGTTGCAGCGGTCCAGGCGGAACACTTTTCTCAGGGGATCCCAATGCACTGTTCTGAGTTTGCATCCCAGTCCTGCTACATGTAAATTATATCAAAGGAGCAACGCGAATCCCTTTCGCTGCGAAACGCGGGCCTTGCGGCAAAGCCCTTCTTGGGACCGCCTTGCTTTTTCTGGCACAGCTCACAAAGTTTCAGGTAAGTCATTACAGCCTCAGCAGTGACGTTTTTGTACTTACGGCTGAGTTCCTTCAGCATCCTGGTCCGACCACCGTGGCCGATGGCAATATGTGCCGCGTGCAGGATGTCAAACAAGTCCTCGTACTGGACAAAGTACACCACCTCGGTGTGCCCAGGGGAGACGGGCACCACCAGCTTCTCTTCCTCGCCGATGTTCAGGACGTTGAAGCGCCTCAGCCGGCGGTAATGCTTGCCCTTTTTGCTGCGGAGCCTCTTCGCCTCCTTGACCTCCTCGATCAAAGTCCTGTATCTTTCGCGGTTAATGTAACTGTTGTTGTCCTCTCGCTTGGTGGACAGGATCTCCTCCATCATTTCGTAAAAACGCCCTCGGTGTTGCTCGCGAAGGACGTGCTCCATGTCGCCAGCGGCGTCAACCCAAGTCAGAAAGGGGGCTGGACCTGAGCAAAGAGGAAGCTCTTACTCTGCGGCCCCAAACAATGTTTTTTTGTCCCTCCAGACCGGGAACAGGGAACTTCCTGAAGGTGCAAGAGACGGCCGAAGGGGCCACCCAACTCACAGAACTAAAGCGGCTCACAGAACCGGGGCCTGAAGTTTTGTAACCTCAGAGTCAAGGTGGAAACGTCACACAGGAATTTGCTCTCCGCAAGAAAACGCTGGCTGCCCTGGACAGAACTGTGAACAGGGACCCAGGGTTTTCTGTTGGGTCCTCATCACCAATGTGTCCCAGAAAACCCAACAGGTATGCATTCATGGGATTCCTTCATGAAATTACCCACAAGATCTCTTCCAACCCGTATGTTTTCACAATCGCATTACAGCATACGGGGCAAGCACTTTGTGAAGGGAATAAATCTGCAACCATGATCCTGGGTCTGCTGCAAACTATGAAAAAAGGAAGCCTCCTATTCCAATGCTTGCAGACACTGCCTTATAAAAACTCCCTCTTTCTCTCTGTCTGGTTATTTCTATCATGGCCCATTACGTCAAAGATATTCACTCCCTGAGGTTCCTCTTCACAGGCTGCCTGGGTCCCTGAGGACTCCTGAGGAGTCTGTGCAAAGTTCCCTTGTCCCCTCTGCTGCTTACTGATGTGTGGGTCCTCCCCCTTCCCTCCGATGGAACAAGGGGGGTGGGTCTCCAAAGGAATCGGAAAGGCAGAGGAGCGGAGGAACAAAGGAAATGACATTTCTGTTATAAAATTGTGTTTGCCACGCCTTAGGAGCTGCCAGAAAAATGTTCAGGAGTAGTGGTGGAAGGCAGTGAAACTGGGAGGGAGTTGTCCAGGAAACTTGAATGAACCTCTTGAGTTTTAACTTCCTGGCAATGAAGAAATGGGTGGTGAAAACCCACAAAGGATCCCCCCTGTCCTTGCAGGAAAACTATCCATATTCGGCCTATTCTCCCTGTATGCCACTGCCAAACTTCCCACCTCTGCTTCAGTACCTAAATCTCACCCCGCCCTTCCCTGCTTCCAAATTTGCAAACCCCACTTTCTGCTAATGTCTCCCTTAAATGAACCGCGCTGTACCACCTCATTCACAGGTGGAATTAAGTCCCCCCCCCGCCCTGTTTCCCTAGCTTTTGGCATTGTATTATAGCGCCTTCTTCCTTGATCCCAGTCTAATGCTGTCCCAACGCTATCATCCTGCGCGCACACGACAATTATTTCTAAAAGTGTGGTAAGAGGGGAGATCAGAGAGAAAGTAGGAGAAGTTTGAGAATCCAAAGTTCACAGCTTTATTCTATTACCAACCTAGACTATGACACATTTTTAAGCCTTAAATGCAATACTAAAAGGTATCCATGGAATATATTGGGGAGGGGGAGAATCATTACAGCGGGCACCTTGGTAATTGTTCAACATGTACCAGTAAGATCAGGGAAGGTGTTACTACAGGGCCAGGTAACCCAGTCTAAGAGGAAACGAACTACAAATCAGCCTCCACAGCCCCTCCACACCCACACCAGACTAAACTGCACTGGCCAGAGCACAGCACATACCACAAGCTGGAGAGCAGGAGCAATGAGGTACAACTGGGATATGGTACCTGCCAATGGCTCCAGCAAGCATATGACCTGTAGACATTTCACAGAAGCAACAGAACACTTTTGACTTTAGAAATGAAATAAGCTGCCTTGGGAGACGATGGAGCCTCTTCCAAATAACTATTTTTTTAAATTATAAGCATTGGATTTTTCACCACAGCAAGTCAATACAATTACCATTATTTGCTATTATTGTTGTTTTAATTTATTACCTGGGTCATAAGCGGGAGAACTACATGTGGGAAATGAACTAGAAGGAAAGATCTTGCATTCAGGCATTTAACAATAATTTAACGGCTTTATTAAACCTGAACCGGTTTTTGAAGCCTAAAGATGCCTTCGCTTCAGGAGAAGGAACCCTCAGTGGCATTCATTTGAAGCCGACTTTGTCAGCATCCTTCCCCTTAGTCCCTTCCTTATCTAGGATGCAGGCCAAACAAGGAGTCCCCTCCCCCGCTCCACCTCCTGGCAACAGGAATGACTGTGCCCTGGATGAAGTCTGAATCAGCTGTTGCAATAAATGACTGGGCTCCTTGACCCACTGGGCAAACTGGGCTGGGTCTGGGAACCTAGGAAAGCCACTGGGTCTTGGGCTGCTGCCTCTTCTCTGGCACCTTCCTCCAGTTTTCAGGCAGTTTTCGGCAGGCGGCTTTCAAGGCAGCATTCCCAGATACTCCTGCCTGCTGCAACAGTTTGGTGGAGCCTCCCGACACACGAAGCTGTGCTGAACAGCTACCAAGTTGGGGCGCTCAGTAACGCAGAAAAATTCATCGGGGGGAACTGGTAGCAAACAACTGATCTCTTGCTTCAATGGATTTCCCTTGGTAGCCCCGACTTTGGCTTCCCAACACAAAACAGAAGATAGAAGATTGGCCTTCTATATCATACTTCTATGCTCCAAGACTTCCAGCCCACATCTGGCCTAGCAGAGGGATTTCGATGCCAGCCTCCACATTATACAACTTCTTGCTCACACAGTTCCTCTTCCCAGTGCCAAGCGCCTCCCAAACGCATCCAGCAGAGAGCGGTGACATTTAGGCTTCTTTCAAGTTCTTGAAATGTCAGCAGTTACGTCTTCCTCCGAGGGAAATGTTAAAGATGCACCATTCTGAACCGTGGCATTTCGCGCGGGAGACATCTTCAGGTGGCGTCCGCTTCTGGACCATTTGTTGCAAGCAAAACTCAGCCTAGCTCGCTGCAAAAGCTTCGGTTCCTCTGGCAGCCAAGGGCTTCAGCAAGATCTGGAAGGGCTTTGTCACTCTTTATGTCCAATGGGATTCTGGTTCTCAGGGACCGAATGAGCTGTGTGAGATTTCCTTGGTGACCCTGGCCTTGCCTGTAGCTTGCCTGACCAGGAAGTGTTGGGATCTGCTAGCATGCCACCACAGCAGCCACACTCTCCAACCTTCCACAGCCATTGCCTCTTCTGCTCTAGAAGAAGCATCGCTTCATTGCTCGCACTTTGACTAGAAGGGCTCTGTCCCAACCAATCCCCTCTGCCGTTCCGAGAAGACACTATGCTGCAAATCCCTGCCAAAGCAACAACTGGGGAAGAGAGCAAAGGGCCTAAGGAGGATCCACTTCTTAGCAAAGTATACACAAAGCTGAAGTTAGTTGCTTAGCAGAAACCAGCATACAAAAAGTGTGCGTGCCCAAGATCCGCGTGCGAAGAAAGCAGCCTCTCTTACTATCTTGGGCACAAGAGAGAGAAGCGGCTTTTCAAATTGATTAGTGGCTTCTCTCTTTAGCAGGGAAAATTCCTACTCTCCCTGGCATGAGCACTGTCTATTTGGATCCTGGCCGTAGTGAGTTGTTTTCATTGGAACTGTAATTTTAAGGATTGACTTATTTATATATTTATTCTTTTTATGTTGCCCTATTTATATTCCACTTTTCCTCCAAGCAGCTCAACGTGGCATGTATGATTTTGCCTCTCCCGCTCCCCATTTTTCCTCACAACAACCCTGTGAGGCAGGTAAGCCTAAGAGGCAGTACCTCTGGGCCCCAAGGTTGCCAAGTGAGCTTCATGGCTGAGAGGGGGCTGGAAGCCAGGTCTCCCAGCCCAACACTCTTAACCACACCAAACTGGCATTGACTGCTGTGCAAATCGACTGCGCAGATGGCTATTTGCCAGTTACTTCTCCTCCCAACTATTTTTTAGATCCCGTGAGGCATTTGAAGTGTGTGATTCAATTGGAATCTATTAGGACTATTAGAAATTTAAAGCAGGACTGCCCTCTGTTCCTATGTATACTTCTTTGTTTTAAAAAACACAACCCAGACACACCAGAATTTAGTCTTGAGCAGGAATAGGTGATGGCAGTTTGAAAACAGCTTTGGGATTACACCTGGTTAGGAGGGGTCAAGGAAAGATTGCCATGAATACCATTAAGAGGTGCCTGAAAGTCTCCCAACACTGTTAACTAATCTGAGCAAATATTTGTCGCATCTTAAAACATTCTGAAATGCAGCAGGTACAATTAAGACTCAGAACTCCGGAGCAAGTCTAAAATGACTCAGCTGTTATAAGGAGGGTGAGAGTTTAACTCCCCACAAACTTTATATTGCGTTTCCCACGTGCATCCTTTCTACCACTGTGTGCAAGGATGTTCATTCTCCCCATTAGTTACTTTCTAACTTCTAAATCTCTGCAGAGCGATCCCAGACCCTGTGGACACTAAATCTTAAAGGAGTCACAGAGGTCTCTCTCCATCAGGTACAAGTTCAGTCTGTTTCCTCCTGCAATAAACGTGTGTGACTGCAAGTCTGATCCCCCGATTCCCCTCACGGCTGTGCATTTTAAAGACACGAGAGAAAGAGCATCCAGACCTTTAAAATGAAAAATGTTTTTGTGAGAAGGCACCCAAAGTTCTAGTACCCTTAAGCAGGAAGAAGCTACCATAAGGTGAGAGCATGTGGAGTTGTTTCAAGGGGCTGATCGCCTTCCAGCCCTGAGGCTCCGCAAGTCGTTGCTCATCATATCAGAAGGACCCCCACCCATCACAATCCTGCTCTCTGGTACATCTTCCCCCTTAATTTGCTTAGGAATGCAGTTTTCCTGCTTCAAACTATGTGCCAGTTTGGTGGTGAGACAGAACACTGCAGTTAGTACAGTGGGAAGACAGAGCCCACTGGCTGGGCCAGAAGGTTTGCCGTTACCAGCCCCACCCAAGGGGGAATCTAAGGACCAACGCTCTCAAGAGCCAAAAAACCTTTGTCCTGCTACTCACCAGTGCTAGGCCCTTCACCAAGGAACAACGGCTCTTGCGCACACATGCCTTCCTGGGGTTCCGCCATGTGCTCTTCATCCACCGTGACAGTTTGATATTCTGTCGAGGAAGAAGGAAATTTGCAACCAAGGCTGTCCCGTTCTACTCTTTCTACAACGTTCAGAGCAGAAATATCTTTATGAGGGAATCTTGGGAGGAGAATAACTAGCCAAACCGCAGGGGGAAATCTGCAGTCTGGCAGGTGCTTTTGGACGTCGTTAACAAACAAAAAGAAAAAGAAAGGTGGTACATGGCCAGGGATAGAAAATTTGCATGTCTAAGAATAAGGACTGCAAGCCTTTGAAGGTTTGCTGCAACAGTTATATTAGAGCCGTCACTACAAATTTAAATCAGCTTCTTTACACCCACTTGCTATGTCTTCATGAGGATTTACGCATTCAATGCATTCCTAACAAGACAAGTATAATTGGTTCCAAGGGAGATCGAAGACAGGACTCACCCAGGCTGCCTTTGTGGCCGAGGTCTCTTTCCTGGCCATTCTCAGGAACAAAGCGCACCTCTTCCACTTCCTCTTTAATCCACGAGGATGACTCTACTATATCCATGGGAGAACCTGCACATAGGAGAGAGGAGGTCACAGGGCGCTGCTCTTCTCCATCAAGGAGAAAACTTATCCAGAGCCACAGGCAGCAGGAGGAAGCGCATGTGTGGCAAGTGAGGGGGGCAGAAAGAGGAGGGCCAGGGAAGGTCAGTGGGAAGAGTGTGAAAGAGGTCAGAGGAAGGAGGTGAAGAAGCAAAGAAAAGGATGGATGGTTTGGAAGAGAGAGTTTCAAGGGGCAATGCTAAAGGGCACAGTGAAGTCCAACACAACCCATAAAACCAGCCAGTTAAAACAGCAAAGGTGACATGGGGTTGTGGTGGAGGTGAGGAAGGAGAGAAACCTTTGAAGTCCCACCCGAAAAATATGCCTTGTGTCTCCAAAGCTGCCCACAAAGGACTAAATGAATATGGCAGGCTGCCAATTGTGTAAGCAGCTCCCTCATAATCCTGGCTTTATAATGAAAGAGAGCCTGCTGGGAAGAGGGAAGCCCTCAAGTCAAGGGCCTGCTTTCTTGCTTGGCAGCCTAAAAGCTAAGCAGAAACCACAATGCAGTTAAATACTCACCCATGTGGCAGCCATTGCTCGTCTCCTCAGGAAGCTTAGCCTCCCCATTCTGGGATTCCTCCACCTCTTGTTTAAGCCACAAAGAAACATCGACTGGAGCAGCAGGGCAGTCTGAATGGGAGAGAGAAGAGGTTGCTGTGCATCAGCCGATGAACACTGAAAACCATGCACACACAACAACCTGCTGGTCACAAACTTGAGGTTTAAACACTTAGTGTTTCATTACACAACCCAATACATTCCAATCACTTTCCTAACCAGGTTCCCATGTAAGAAATCTTCATTTTCTAACCATCCCTGCACCGTAACAGAGCCCACGTCACAGGCTCTCCAAGCAGTCTTGCATGTAGAAATTGCCTGGTGGAATAAGATGGCTTTCCAATCTGGATGCAAGAACTTTCTGCAATTAAAAAGGTATCACCCAGGACCAACAACGGGCAGGAGAGATTATACACACTGATGCAAAAGGTGCACGAGGACAAACATAACTTCATGGGCATACAAGGCCACTTCTTCCGATACAAAAAATAGTATTTGTAACAGGAAAGAAACACGTTTTTGCCAAGTATGAAGGTTATTGCAAAAGCACTACAGGCATGAAGCATATGAGGCAACAAGAAAACAATCAACGTGCTGGAAAAGGTGCGTCTTTTGCAACACAAATATCACTTCTGCTCCTCAAGCCCTCTAAGTAAAGAAACTGAAACAGGTGGATTTAACATGTGGATTCATTTCCATACTTTGAGTACAACTAAAGTGCAAGTGAGGGGCATCCAGCCCAATGTCCCCATGCATTTATTCATTCATTTAGATTAGTTATATTCCACTTCATAGCCGAAGAGGCACTTTATATTCTCAGAATAAAACCATCACTCGAATCCAGTAAAACAGGAATTACACAATGTCCATACACAACAAGGATTACTAAGGCTGCATTTCCTGCCCTCAACTTTCTTCTTTCCTGGTGTCATACGAGGGGAAAAGCTCCCACAAATATCCTTTGAGGCAAAGGAGTGGGGCTGAGGAGCTAGATCTCACCCACGTTGGTCTACAGGCTTCACTTGCAAGTCATATCCAAATGTTGCCAACACAGTCAGTGGCAAAGGTCAAAAGAAATTGCAAGATAACATTTCTGTCATGATGAGGCAGCAAAAGGACTCTCTGCTCTGTGTTTCGGAGGCCTGCTAACGCACCTGCGTCAAGTTGTTCAGGGACACCACTGCCTTCTGAATCTCCAAGTCCTTTCTCACACAACTCTTCTCCCTGCTCAATCCGAGTCAGGATCTCTGGCTTGGCGACGGCATAGTCTGTTCAATTGATGAATGGGAAAAGAGGAGGTCATTATATGCCATTCAGTAACAAAAGGCTCAGAGAATTGCGAAGGCTTGCAAATAAATAAGCCCTGGCTTTGACAGAAAGAGCTGTGTTATCCAGAGTCAGACCACCAGTCTATCTAGCCCAGTATCATTTATTCTGACAAGCAGCAGTAGTCCAAGGTTTCAGGCAGAAGAAACCTTTCGCAGCTTTGCTACCAGAGATCCATTAAAAAATATCTGTAAGATGAACTAACTGGAGTCACCCCCGCCAAATGCAAAGTGTGCAGTCTACTGCTAAGCTGCAACCTCCCTTGAGCTGAACATCAAACAGCTCCCACAATCAAGAATGGATGTGTTTCAGGGTGCAAAACTAGCCAAAATATGGCTGCTGCCCATGAGTTTTCCATCCCCACTTGGTGACCATCAGATGTCTGGGACTATAATTCCTATTATCCTTGACTACTGGTCATGCTGGCTGGAGCCAATAGGAATTCCAGTCCGAAACATCAGAAGGACAGCAGGTTGGGGAAGGAAGCTACAGACTTTCTAATAGGCTTTGCTGCAATCCAAATCCCTTATCTGCCATGCTGGGGGAAGGGAGGGGAGTGTCGGATGAGGCAGATGTCTCCATTCCCACCCCCATCAATGACTCCACTGGCTTCCTCCTTGCTTCATTTGCCAAGAGTGCATGTGACCCACCAAAAACTGGGCATCCCAGGGGTGGGAGAAGCTGAGCTGGCCCAGGATATGTTGGATACCAGTGCCACGCTGCTGTAACTTGATGCCATGGAGCCCAGTTGCTCTGCCACTTCCAGGCTCTCCCCAGCTGTGGATTTCCTGAACCAAGCAAAGGGTTGGACAGCATGGCCTATAAAACTCTCTTTGGAACTATGAACCCATAGTAATGGCTCAGAAACTAAAAAAGGGGTCCAGTGGCAGGTTCTCCGCCTGAGCAGGGGCTTGAACACACTCTTCCATGACAACAAATGCCCTTATTTTGTTTCTTTTTTAATACACACATGTTGCAGATAATCAAAGATGAGAAGCCTCTCTTATTCACTAAACCACATTAGTTCTCAAGATACTGATAATGATCACCCGAACAAGTAAGAACTTTGAGCCTGCATCCCATTATATCCCAACTCAGGGTTTCTTAAATCTCACCCAGCGAGACCAGCATCTCATAGTTGCTTTTCATGACTGTCTTGTACAACTCTTTCTGCAACTCGTCCAGGTCTCCCCATTCCTTCTCGTTGAAATGGACTGAGAGGTCATCAAAGGTCACTGGAACCTGGAACAACAGAAGTTAAAGCTCAGCACCCTCTTGACTCCCAACCCAGTCGGCCTAACTGGTAGGCAAGAAATGTTACTGGATGGTGTTGGAAGAATCACTTTCTACATAGAAAGAAGCTGGTGCACACATAACACGTAGCCAAACATGAATGAGCAGGTGTATCAGTGCACAGAGCTAAAATCACAGCCGCTTCCCCTGCTACTGGGAACTAAGTCACGGTTTGGCCTGGTATTACATATGAACCTGAGCTCGTGATTTGTTGTAGCTAAGGTTTGTTCTTGGCCTACCACTTGTGATCTGTCTGTGGGTGATAAACCACAAGCCCAGGTTTGGATGCAACATGAAGCCAAAACATGGAGGAACGAAGCAGCCAGTTTTCTTTCTGTGAACCGGCACACTTACTCGTTCACACTGAGCTTAGTTTTATGTGCTAACAGGACTTGTTTTGTCTGACGCGGACAAAAGCATCCTGTTTTCAAGGCCACACATTTTGACCACTGAGATAAAATAAATTTAGTTTCCAAAAGTTCTCAGCATCCTGCAGCCCCACTGAAAACAGTGTGAACTGCCAGGGAGAGCTAAAACATCTGGAAAGCATGTCTATTATTCAGGAATAGATGTGGGGAACACTGGGATAGCAACTTTCTGTTTGGTGCTGTGACCCAAGGAAAAGGAAGAACCTCTAGCACTCCCACAGAAAGCCCAAGGAGGCAGCCAGGGAGAATTTTGGGGGCATTAATAGTGCACTGTGAATCACAGATCCATGCATTCAGTACAAAAAACCAGCATGCTTACTGATCTCAAGTCTGAAATGAGCTATGGAGGAGAATTCTGGATAGACTTCAAATGACTACAGGGAGGTTTCATAGTTGGGTTTTAAAATATTTTTCATGGCTCCAAGTTCTTCCTGGCAGTCCAAATAATATTGTTTGCATCTATAGCACTGGAGTAATTTGCATAATTACATGCAGTAAACATGAATAATGTTTGCTAGCTCTGGTAGCAGAATGTTTTGCACTTGCATCAAAGCCTTCCTTATACACCTTTGTGCTGGAGGACTCTTGAGAGTCCCATGGACTGCAAGAAGATCAAACCTCTCCATTCTGAAGGAAATCAGCCCTGAGTGCTCACTGGAAGGACAGATCCTGAAGCTGAGGCTCCAAGACTTTGACCACCTCATGAGAAGAGAAGACTCCCTGGAAAAGACCCTGATGTTGGGAAAGATGGAGGGCACAAGGAGAAGGGGACGACAGAGGACGAGATGGTGGGACAGTGTTCTCGAAGCTACCAGCATGAGTTTGACCAAACTGTGGGAGGCAGTGGAGACAGGAGTGCCTGGCGTGCTCTGGTCCAGGGGGTCACAAAGAGTCGGACACGACTAAATGACTAAACAACAAATACACCTTTAGGTGACAACCAAACCTTTGGCTGATTGCATTTTGTGTTTTTATATTGTCATTTTATGTTGTGAACTGCCCTGAGATCAATGGACGAAGGGCAGCAAACAAATTTATTAAATGATATAAATAATACTCCTAACCTTGGGCGTTTCTCCCTTCACACCAGGGGGGAATCTCAGGATCCAGAAGTTCCGATTCTTCAGCAGATTCTCCACATTCTCCAGTCTCTTCTGGAGCTGCCTGTACTCCTCAGTTAAGGTCCCCAGCGCAGCCCACTTGCTCTCCAGCTGGTTCTCCATTTCGGTTGAGGTCTTTTGACAGGCTCCCAGCTTCTTCTCTGCTGACCCCATCCTGCCCTCCAAGCGCAGCAAGCGCATGGTGTGGTTGTCAACCGTTTTGTCGATGGCCTGGATGGCCGCCACCGCCGCCCACATGGAAGCCTCGGACGTTTGCACCTGCATCTCCCGCGTAGTGGCCTGCTTGAGGTTCACAAGGGACTGGAAGGGCAGGAGAGACCTTGGCTCCGCCTCACACTCCATAGCCTGCTTTGCAGAGACAGAAACCCAAAGTCAGTGGCCATCTTGCGTTTCAGATGACACCAGAAAAATCCTTCCCACCTCCCACCCCATTCTCTCCTTCTGAAATGTCAGAGGCAGCAACATATGCTTGGGCAAAATGGGTGCAAAAATACTGCCATTTAAGTGGTAATTTTCCAAGTACTGAACAAACCCAGTGAATGGTTGGGTATCAATACATACAACTGGCAGTCTGAGGAATCAAGCTGGGTCACTGCTCTGCCCCCACCCTTATTATGGACTTATTATAGTCAACATGAGACAAGAGACAAAATGCAATTTAATCATCGTTGCTACTGCGTGAGTCACAAGAGAAGTTTCTCCCTTTGTGACCTTTAACTGCATTTGTCTTTGTCCTCACTTCTTATGTGATGATCAGCAGCAAGTGAAGCAATGCAAGAAAGGAACTCTGTCAGTCTTTTTTCATGGTTCTTATTGGATGTGGGGTAAAGGTAAAGGGACCCCTGACCATTAGGTCCAGTCATGACCGACTCTGGGGTTGCAGCGCTCACCTCACTTTACTGGCTGAGGGAGCTGGCGTACAGCTTCCGGGTCATGTGGCCAGCATGACTAAGCTGCTTCTGGCGAACCAGAGCAGTGCACGGAAACACCGTTTACCTTCCTGCCAGAGTGGTACCTATTTATCTACTTGCACTTTGAGGTGCTTTCAAACTGCTAGGTTGGCAGGAGCAGGGACCCAGCAACGGGCGCTCACCCCGTCGCGGGGATTCGAGCAGGGGTGTGCTTTTTACCTTGAACCACCCAGATGGACTTCTGCAACCAGGTGGCATAAAAATGTTGGGCAGGTGGAGGGAATAATTTATCCCGCCACATGACGCCTACCCCATACCCTCCAACATTTGATAACAGGAATGCCAGGGACTGGCCCTGGAAAACAGGGACACGTGGAGGGTCTGGCGCTACCCACCCCACCTCATAAAAACAAACAAACAAACAAATAGCATCCTAGACCTGTGGTTTTTCTTCCCTTTTCCAGAATCTGGGACTATTAAGGAATTCTGGAGTTGCCCCCTTCCCCCACCGAGAGTGTGCATGGAGAACTCACTGACTAGACACTAAAATGCCCTTTTAAAATGAGTTTTTTTGGGGGTGGGGTGTTATTGTTTATATTCTGATTATATATATTGTGGCTTACTATTTTATATTTTTATATTCTGACATTTAGAAGACATCTGAAGGCAGCCCTGTTTAGAGACGTTTTTATTGACTGATTTAATTTATTTTTAATCTTTTGTTGAAAGCCGCCCAGAGTGGCTGGGGAAACCCAGCCAAAATTATTATTATTATTATTATTATTATTATTATATTTTGCGAACCGCCCTGAAACCTCCGGGTATCTCGATAAAAAATAATGATGTAAAATTCAATAAAAATTATTTATAAAAAAAGAAGACCTCCAGATATAGGACGCTATATAAATTCAATAAACAAACAATAAACAAACAAACGGGGAGGGTCCTTCCTGGCTTCCGCGGGGGGTTCCCTCGTTTCCCCGAGGCGCGAGGGGAGGCCTTGAGGGACTTGGGGGTCGGGGTGGGAGATGAACAAAGCGGGAGGGGCGACCCTCCCCTCCCCTCTGAGATTCCTGAGGTAAAACAAGGGGGGGGCTCCTGCCCCCTGCTTCCCACAAGGCCTCGCGTCAGGTGTGTCCCTCCTCCCGCCCCCCCCCAGCCTCACCTGGACAGGCGCCCCCCCAGCCATGGCTCCGGAGAGAGACAGACAGACAAGGCGAGCGGCGCTCGGAGGCAGCGGGCGTGGGGGGGGGGGAGCGGCGGAGGCCGAACTGCGCAGGCGCACTGCCGCCGCAGCGCCTACCCAGCGGGAAGCCGAGGAGACGCATCGCGAGACCGGCAGGCGGCAGCTTCCGCTTCCCGTTCAGCGCAGCGCCGCCAGTAGGCGGGAGGAACGAACGGCCTCCCCATTCTCAGTCCCCGGGTGGCGGTTTTTTTGGGCGGGAAACCGCCGGATTCCGAGGTACTACAACTCCCGTCATGCCTTGCCGCCGGCCGCGCCGTAGAGGGGATGATGGGAGTTGAAGTGCCGAGCGGCCCCCTGAGGGCGTGGCTGGCTATGGGACGCGCTCTCTTTCTCCTCCCCACAGAGGTTCCTCCTGAGCTGCGGGCGAGAACTCTTCCCTTCTTATTTATAATTTTAATTTTAATAAAAATGGCATACAGCTTGCTGTTGAGGCACCTCAGCAGCCATTTTTATTTTTAATTTATTTATTTTTAATTTATTTATTTTTAATTTATTTAATCAATTAATTTAATCAGTTTTTAATTAATTTAATCAATTAATTAATTTAATCAATTTTAATTAATTTAATCAATTAATTTAATCAATTTTTAATTTAATCAGTTTTTAATTAATTTAATCAATTAATTTAATCAATTTTTAATTCATTTAATCAATTTATTTAATCAATTTTAAATTTTAATTAAAAATGAGGTGGGCCCCCCAGCTGTTGTCCTTGGCTATGGAGTCCCTGTGATGTCCCTATCCAATATCTGGCTGCGGCTTGTCAACATCTGCCAAATGGGCTTCCAAAGATGAATGTCAACCAGTCTGCCTCCACAAATATCTATCGGCTTCAACCTTACGGCATCCACCGTCGTCCAAATGCTAGCGCCGTCAGCCACGCCGGAGAGGGGATGATGGGAGTTGGAGTTGCATTGCGGCACTGAGCGGACCCCTGATGGCGTGGCTGGCTAATGGACGTGCTTTCTTTCTCTGCCCCACAGAAGTTTCCACTGAGGGAAAACTGCCAGCGAAAACTATACCTATCATGAATACACTAGCTCCCAGCCTAGGAATGCAGCCGGCAGCAGACGGGATCAGATTTCTCTCACGGAGACCATGTTGGAATGCGGACACAGCTCTCAAGAGGCACAGGCAGGTGTGAAGGAGAAGATTGACAACCTGTCTTCTCATGAAGAAGGAGAGGATCCAAGGAGCCAGCAAGTCATCTCCGGGGAGGGTGTTTGACAGGAAACAACATTAGAAATGCAAAGGTCATAGGTTGAGTTAATTCTGTCAGAAACGGAAGGATTCTTTAGAAGGGTCAACTGACTGAGGGTGCCGGAGGCTTGGCTAGAGCCATCCGGAGCTAATTGCTTGTTTTTGCAATAATTCCTCCTTTTAATTACGTACGTTTACTGTGTTATCAAGACAGGAACCTGGACTCCTAATAATACCGTTGTTATTTCTTTCATAAAAATTGCATACATTTTGTTGTGAAGGCACCTCAGCAGTCATTTTTATTTTTAATTAAAAATGAGGTGCCCCCCCCAGCTGTTGCCATGGGCTACAGACTCCCTGTGATGTCACTAATCAACATCTGTAACTCCCTGTGATGTCACCAACTGACGCCTATCGACTCCCTGTGATGTCACAAGTGGATACAGCCCCTTCTCCCAGTGACACAGCTACCAGGGACGGGCGCCCTATGATCCTAGAGAGCTTGATTTCCCATATAATTTGTTTTCAGAAAGACCTTGTATTTAGAAATAATTTAGGAAAGGCATTTGTTTCTTTAGAAAACAGAAGCTGGCTGGCTTAAGCCCTGCAGTTCTCTTCATGACTTCCATGGATGGTCTCGGGGAAAACCTTGCCGGCTTCGGACGTCCCTGAAAGACAAACAGCTGAGTGGGATGGCTACTATCTGACAGCATCCTCCCAGACGCCTCCACTGGCTTCTGCCCAGCAACTTTGTCCTTGGTGTGGACCATGCCAAATTCACCTCAAGAGAGGTGAATTGTCAACCAGCTTGCATCCACAAATATCAGCCAGTTTCAGCCTTGCGGCAGCCACTGTCACCTAAACACCTCCACTGGCTGCATCGGACAACTTCTCTCCTCACTTTGCCCTGTCAACTTCTGTCAATGGGCTTCCAATTGTAAGGCCTTGTAAGGGAGCAGGCCCTGCAGACCTGACCACAGCAGATGGTCAACTGGAGTGCCACACAAGAGCAGGAAGGTACCTGTTTCAGCCATTTCATGCAAAGCCATCACTCAATAAGGAGGTTCCTGATGATTGTCCACCAACGTCCAAATTCCTGCTGGTGTGTCAAGTACTAAATCATCCACTCTGCTGTTCTCTATCTGGTGACTTCTGGATTCTGCCTTCTCACTGTCTTCCAGACAAACAGGAGTTGACCATGCTGCTAGCTCCCAAGGTTTGCAGCAAACAGGGAATGTAGTGTTCAAGGGTCAGTGTAACCCTTGGGAGAAGGCTCCTGCTCGCATAGAACACAACCAAAGCAATGATACTCATCACTAACCGACGTCTATAACTCCCTGTGATGTCACCAACTGAGGCCTATCAACTCCCTGTGATGTCACAAGTGGATACAGCCCCTTCTTCCTGTGACACGGTGAAATAAATGAAAAAGAGGTTCTGTTAAGGGGTTCAGCTTCTTAAGGAAGACTGGACCTTTGGAAAGAGCACATTTTGTAGGCTCAAGCCGGTCGGGAAATAAACAGAGCCCAGACCAGGATATACGGAAAACAAAGATTCTCTTTCAACACACGGCTACCAGGGAGGGGCGCCCTAGGATCCTAGAGAGCTTGATTTCCCATATAAGTTGTTTTCAGAAAGACCTTGTATTTAGAAATAATTTAGAAAGGCATTTGTTTCTTTAGAAAACAGAAGCTGGCTGGCTTAAGCCCTGCAGTTCTCTTCATGACTTCCATGGATGGTCTTGGGGAAAACCTCACCGGCTTCGGACGTCCCTGAAAGAGTGGGATGGCTACCATCCGACAGCATCCACTCAGACACCTCCACTGGCTTCTGCCCAGCAACTTTGCCCTTGGCTTCAGCCTGCCAACTTCTGTCAATGGGCTTCCAAAGGTGAATGTCAACCAATTTTCATCCACAAATATCCATCTGCTTCAACCTTGTGGCATCCACTGTCGTCCAAATGATCCTGCAGATGATGATGATGACTTTGAAAAATGGCAAATGTATGATGGGAAAGCACAGGCAAGTATTACTTTGGGAGTTGAGGCTTCACAGATCTCAATTATCCGGTTTCAAACAACAACCACAACAATATAGAAAGCCTTGCAGAATGTTTATCTTAGTGTGACCCCGGGCAGTAAAGTCTTACTGACTCACAAATTATACCAGCAACATTTAAAGCCAGGGGGTGTCTTTGCCTGACCGCTTGCAGACACTTGGAGATCTTTTGGGGCATGGATTCAGCTTCACACCCATATCCCAAATATACATAATCCTGTCAAGCTTTGATGAAAATTATGCCATTTCAACTTTAGTAGAAGGCAAAGATGAAGAGGACCTGACCATTGAATGGGGTAACAGGAAAATTGCTGACTGAATGGGGAAAGCTCCGGGAATGGGCTGATAGCAGAGAGACACTGTCAGTGCTAATAGGCAGTAAATCTTCAAGGAGATGCAGTGGTGGCAGGTTTACAACAGCAACTACTGTTGAAGTTACAGCCTTGAAAGTGAGGAAATGTGTTAATTCTGACTCAAAAGAGCACCTGAAGAAAGACTGTCCATTGCTACAGAAGAAGAAAACACAGGACAAGCAAGAGAAACTAGACTGGGGTGCAAGATGGAGAAGAAAATCTGGAAAATGTGACACCGAGATGAATAAAGCCTTAATCACAAGACTGAGTAATACTTCAGGTTGGTGGGTCTTGGACCTGGGGGCATTGGGTGATATGTGTAATGATAAGACACAATTTGACTTTTTGAACTATATGTGAAATGTCAAGCTATGGCACTAGCTGGGGTGGTAACATTCCTGTATCTGGCATTGGAAAGGTAAAGCTTAAGTGTTTAAGGAATGAAGTGCTTGAGGTTTTTTATGTTCCACAGCTGGAGTCTAATTTGTTGGGTCTGATTAAATTGGCAACATCAGGATTTGAAATATGTTTTGATGGTGATGCATGTGAAATTAGAAAAAGGGAAGAGTTTTATGCTACAGGACATTTGCAAGATTCCTTACATGTGATTGAGCCTCAGGAGGGCAATCTTAAGAAGGATGAGGTAGCAAGCCAAGCCATGCAAAATCCACAATTGCTAATTGTGCTCCTCATAATCAATGTGTTCATTTATATACCACAGAAGATTAGCTCATCTCAATTTTAGAACTGTTTCTGGAATGCCAGGGTTGTGTGAAGGGAATCACATTGAAACCATGTTCTAAGGCTGTGGAATGTGATGTGTGCAGTGAAGCTTAAGTCACAGAGAGCACCTGTAGTGAAGCTTCCTTTTTTGTATTATTTTTCGTTCTTTTTATTTTTAGGAGAATATGTTTTATATTTTCAATTGTAGTTTATGTTATTATGTTTCTATCCTTGTAATTTTGCTTTTGTATTTTCTTCTGGTTTTGTATTATTTGCTCGTTTTATTCAATGCTTGTTTGTATGATGTATAAGTATAAATAAATAAATAAAAATTAAAACAAAAATCTAAAGTAACCACACACACACATACAAAAGATCGAGCCCTGTGGAACCCCACATTGAAGGTTCCACAGAGCTGAAAAGCACTCCCCAAGTAGCACCCTCTGGGAACGACCATCTCAGTAGGACTGGAACCACTGTATAGCGGCACCACCCACCCCTAGAGTCACTCCAGAAGGAAACCATGGTCAATGGTATAGAAAGCCACTGAGAGGTCGAGAACAATTAACAGGGACACGTTCCCCTTGTCTCTCTCGACAGAGGTCATCATATAGGGCAACCAAAGCAACTTCTGTGCCAAAACCAGGCCTAAGCCCCGATTGAAATGGATTCAGAACATCCGTTTCTTCCAAAAGTGCCTGGATCTGG